TGAGCCCAGAAGTATGAAGCTGCAGTGAGCTATGATCATGCCACTACACTCTAGCACTCTAGCCCAGCAACAGAGTGAGACTGTGTCACCAAAAAAAATAAATAAATAAATACAAGGACCTAAAGATCAAATACAGCCTGGTTACTGGGTGACACTTCCTTGAAGCATTTGTTTCTTTACCTTCCACACCTTTCTGATCCCTTATTTGCTCTGAGTCACCTCAGTATTTGAGTTAAATGCTCAACAATAAGACCGGGCACCTGCAGAGGCTGGCACCTGAATCCTGCACTACACCTTCCTGCACAGCCTCAGTACAAAGTCTTTAGCAGCAGGCACTGCATCTGATGTTAGGTAGCTCCTTTCTGCAGACAACAGATAGGAAGACAATACATAGTGAGGACCTGCTAAGCGCCATGCACCGGGCTATGTAGTTTACTCGACTTCTTCCATTCTATCTTCACAACAACCCTATGAGGTCTCATTGTCCTCATTTTGCAAAGGAAGACAAGTCCATAAAATTAGTAACTTTCCCACAGCCAGAATCAAGATTTGAAAGTTCTTCTGTCTTGAGTCTAAGAAAACATACGCTTTCCATTATTCCACTGTCTCTTTTTGTAAAAAAAAAAAAAAAAGAAGATTAAATGAAAGACACTCACATAGGCAAGCTAATGTGGTTTAAAAAGTACCTGTTCACATTTTCCCCAACATTTATTAACTCTTTCAAATGTACACATAATTTGAAAGAATTATACAACAAATAATCAATACTTACCAGCTAGATCCTATAATTAATGTTTTTCTGTATTTGCTTTATCACATATCTATCCAACTATCCTTCCCTCTATCTATCCATCCCCTTTATTTTTAAAATAAAGTTTTAAAAATTTCAAAATAAGTTGAAGACACTTCACCCCCAAAATACTTCAGCATGCATATCATTAACTAGAGTTCAATATTTGGCTATAATTTTAGGTGATTTACATACAGTAAAATACAAATGTATAGTACATGACTTCATAAATTTTGACAAATGCATTTACCTGTGTAACCCAAACTTCTATCAACATACAGAACATTACCAACATCCAAAAACGTTCCTTTGTGCCCCTTCCCAATTAATCCCCATTCCTATCCCTAGAGTTAATCACTTGTTCTAAATTTTTCACCACAGATTAGTTTTCTCTGTTCTAGAACTTTGAATAAATGGCATTGTAAAATATATACGCTTGTGTAAAACTTCTTTTACTCAGCATAATGTCTGAGTCTCAACCATAATGCTGCATGTATCCATAGTACATTTCTTTTTATTGCTGAGTAGTAGTCTACCGCATGCATATACCCTCGTTTTAGACATTCTCCTGTTCACTTCTCACACATTTCCATTTGATCTTCATAGAAGTCACGTGAATTAGGTTTGTAGAAGAGGCCAAGGTCCAATGGGATAAACAAATGTAGCTTCTTTTAGTTCATGTTGTTTTAAGAGCATGAAAGCTTTTACCCAACCTATCTTCCTTCATTGTTTTTGTTCTTTTTGTCTCAGTTTAAACTACAGAGCACAAATAATTTAGGACCAATCTCTATTCTCTACTCCCTGTATCAGTACTTTTTCTCTCATGATTATTATTTTCCTCTGTATTCTGAGAGTTATTCATGTTTGTTTTTTAGATCACGAACTGCCTGTCCTACAATGTCAACTGGGTACCCAGTGTGAATTTAATTAAGCTTTGGGATTCTGGATGTACTTGCATCATTTTCACCAACTCCCTTTCCAGGTTTGCCCTCATCATGATAGCGTTTTCTTCTGCAGATGTAATTAAATCCCCTAATCAGTCGATCTCATAAGGGAGGTTATTCTGGATAATCTGCATAGGCCAGACTGAATCAGTCGGAAGACTTTAAAAGCAGAGCTTAGCTTTCCCCTAGAGAAAGAGAGAAGAGATTACACCTGCAGAGGGAAGCTTCGGCATGTGCGGTGGAGTTCCATCTTGCCCAGGACCTCTCCTTCCTGGCTGCCTGAGGACCACAGCTTTGGCCCATGTTGGTGGGCTGACCTTGACCTTGACCTTGACCTTGACAGGATTCCCTCCCCTTCCTGCCCTATGAATTTTGGACTTGCTCAGTCAGCCTCCGCAATCAATAAGCCATTCCCTGTAATAAATCTTAACATATATTTCTCCTACTGGGTCTGCCTTTCTACTTGAATACTAACTGATACACTAATTAACCCATTTTTCTCCTTGTTGCTTCCTTCTCTAATTTCATAATAGATCTGACTTCTTCCATCTTTTAAAGGACAAATGAAAAATATCTTCTAAATTTTTCTTTGATTTCTTAAAGAAAATCATACTCAGAGAGTCTTCCAACTGAATGCTGTTATTTTTCCCTTTTCTCTATACTGTGATGTTATTTCACAGGCCCCATGTTGGTTGGTTTTCCTGTTAACCGTACTTAAAATGGAAAGATCTCTGTAGGCCTAGCTTCTACCCACAGAGAATGCAGGTAGAAAATGTCGTAAGCCGCACTTGCTATCTGCTTATATGCCTCCCACACACATTCCCTCCACTCTGCAAAGAAAGTTGATGTGCCTAGCAGGCATTCAACTATGATGAGCCTGCTAGGGGCATGGATCTTTTTCAAACTGTCAGATTCTCTGACTAAATAAAATGCTCCAAGTTCTAGAAACTGTACAATAATCAAGGACTATATGTTCTTTCTTACCCCATCAATCCACCCAGCAAGTCCTGCTCACAGTACTCTTTGAAACTGTTTCTACAGGATTCCAAAACCACCACTCTTTCCACTATTCTGGATGCCTCTGAAATAAATCTGGAGTCCCACATGATGCAGGAATTCTCATATTGCATGGGGAAGGAAGGAAAACAGGCTTTTGGAAAAATGAGAC